AAATTTTAGGCATAGGTCGTTTCGGGATCAAACGATCCCGACTCAGGTCACTAGAATTAGGCAGGACATGCGACACTTTCTGCACCATTGAGGAAGTATGCTCTTTATTTTTTTTTCTTATTTTTCTTACCGCTGAAACCCCGCAGACTCGAGGAATTTTTCTTGACGAAAGATTCATCGTTCCTTCTCTAGAATATCTCCTGCCTGTGTAAACGACGAGCGGAATATAATGCGCACTGAAAGTTCTAGCATGAAAAGCGAATCAGTTTTCAAAATACGAACGAGAAAATTGAATGAGAAGAAAATGCCAGCTTAAAGCTGGTTCTGAATATTTTGCAAATATGATAGCTAGTTTTTCCGAGTTTTAACCGAGTTGCTTGAGCGTCACCTGAGAAATTTTTATCTTATTGACGATTCCGCCATCTTTCTTTCTATCTCCTCCTTTCGGCCACTCCCTGATCTTTGAGGCATTTTACCTGTACGAATGCTCCGATTGGTTACCTGCGCGTTAAATCCGTGCGATCTAATACCTTTGTCAATAGAATGAAAACTTTTCAGGCGCAAGCCGGTCAGATAATTTTTTCCGCCCACTTTAACTATGCGCTCGCATTTCCTTTGTGGAGCCTAAAATGTATACAAGCTTGAACCTGTAATTGGACAGGTGCATCTATTTTTCGGATGACTCCGCCCATTTGTGATGCTTGCTAGCAGTTTCTTTACAGAGCAAAATTCTCAAAGTATAGAAAAAAAAAACGAAAAAAGAGGAGTTAAAGTAAAAGAGAATAAAAAGATAAAGACGAAAGCAAATATCTGCTAATTAGAAAAAAAGTATTAGCAGTGAAAGCAGAGATTAAGTGATTAGAAAACGATTTTCGCGAACGCACGCATGCCTTCTAACGTGTTGACAAGTGCGAGCCGAGGTTCACAGGGGCGGGGAACCGAACACGATCGTGAATTATGTGGCGTTGCTTGCTTCGTTCGAAGGCGGTGGCATCGTTTTATGGTATCTGGAACATCTGTAAGCAGGTGTCATCCGACGAGACCGTACTGCACATTTGGCGCATGACGTGGTGGCTGGCTCGGAGCGCGAGACTCACAGCGAAGACAAGCGCGACCGGCTGCTGCAACGTATCGCCGAAACAGCTGTTTGCCGCCGTCGTGTGTCAGTCTAAGTGGCCTCATGCCCATTATAATTTGCGAGAATTTATAGGAACACGAAGCATGGCGCTCCGCGAGCTACATTTTGCACTTTTCGAGTGTGCGGAGTTACGCGAGTTTCATCATTGATGTCGCGCTGAATTATTCGTCTTTAAGATGCCTTTATTTTTGGCAACGCCGGTTTTTAAGCGGCAAGACAGCGTGACGGCTAAATACGAAAGCTGCATCATTTTTTTATTAATTATTTTTTGTTAAATTATTAAACTACTGAGATTAAAAATATTAGTATTTTCGATAATAATTAATAATGATAACAAAAGCGCATATCTTTGTTTCTAACTTGTTTCTACACATTTTTATTTTTAAGTCTGTCGTTCCATTTTATTAAAATTCCTACTTATTTTTCGTCTTAGATATTAATTTTTCGGTGAGACATGCCAAGTTCTCGTTTTCCCGCCGCGGTCACGGATGTGTAACAAGAGACTGCCGGGTCTTCGTCTGTTCCTTTCGACACTTTCGAAAGTCAGTCCGACCCGAGTTTCGAAATTGGCGGATGATTTTAGCCGTATTTCGTTCGACGAAGGGGCGGGAGTTGTCCTCGCCCCGCTGGCGCCAACGCGACAAAAAGCGCGCATAATCGAGCGTATCTCCCGATCCACCCCAGGATATTATGTTTCCTGTTAGGAAAGCGTCGGAGCAGCCCCCGTGATCCATTCGCGTCGGCGGCGGCGATCAATGAACGATCCGTGAATGAAAATTCCTCGAACTACAACCGCGCGCTTTGGCGGCTTCGCGCTCCTGTCATTTTCACCGAATCGAATCTCGAGAGGACCGTTTCGGCTATCTCTGCAGACTAGTTTAGTTTAGCGAGCTTTACAAATTGATAGAATTTATTGGAAGCATGAAAAAATGCTTCTCCTGAACGTGTTGGAAAATTATAATCGTTTGAAAAATATCAAACTTTTGAATCGATCTGAAACTTGACGTCAGGTATTTTTCTTCGCAATTCCGGTTCTCATAATTCGGCAGACATGCGAAGGAAAGACGCGCTAAAAAGCTATCGTCGTTCATTAAAATAGATCGGAATGTAAACGGAGGCAGTAAATTCCACGGCCCTTCGCGAGCCATCGACGCCCGTGAAAACGATGGGATCGTAAAGGAGCACCCGCGACTTTTTGTAGGATTTACTTTACGATACCGCGAAGGCCACTAATAGGCGCGTTCCCGAGACAGCTTCTCGTCGACAGCGTCGATGCGCTCGGCCGGAGCCAAAGAAAGCTCATACATTTTCGTTACGGGAAAACAAAAAGGACACGCGCGAGGCCGCGTCGAGGAATCGGTCCAGCCGATGCTGTTCGCTGAATGCTGTTCGCTCTGTTCAATGACCCGTGCTTTATGCATAATTCTCGAAACAAGTCCTTGCATACAATTGTTTCATTGATTTTCCTCATTCAATTTAACATTATTTTTCCGTTGATTTATTTGTATTGTATTATTGTCGGGAAATAATTTATCGGAAAATCTACATTTTGATACATTTCAAAGTATTATTACATAGAGTAGAACTCGAAATTAGTATTGAAACGTAAGAAAAAATAATCCTCTAATTTTTTTTAATCAAAATCGTAGACGATTTTAGAAAATACTTGATCCAAGTGGAACGAGCCAGATTTCATAGCCGCGAAATAAATGGAGGGTTTACTTTCCTTTTGCGCGCAGCGGCGACTAATTTATGACGCGTTGAATTTTCTGAAAAATTGTACGCCGTAACTTTTTAACCGGAAATGCGGTGCGAGGACAAGAACGAACGACTACGCGACGGGGCGTGTGGTTCCTCGTTTGGACAAACGAAGCGCCGCCTCTTCGCCGTGCGACTGCGTGTCGTCATTTCCCGGACGAAGGGACGCGAAGGGTCGAGAGGGAAGGAAGGAAGGGCCTCGAAGGATGCGCCCCGTCGGTCGTGTGCGAGAAAAGGGTCGCGGCGGATGCAATCGACAGAAACCTCGTTGCAGATTTGGAGCTCGGAAAAAATAATTTTTCATTTTTCGAAGGATGCACGTGTCGGGAACAAACAGGATCTTATTGCTCGTGCTGCTATTGACCATGCCGAAAGGGTTGAGCCGACCAAGAGTCGGAGACGATTTTTTTCTTGTTTGAACACCGAAAATGGTTCCTCGATGGAACGATTCTCTCTTTCTTTCTTTCCCCCCCGTTCTTCGACGCAGATAAATCAAGCCTGTTGAAAAAACACCGCGCGAGTTGTTGCGAGCTGATATATGAATGCCTGATTCATTAAGCGTCGCCGATGAAGTATGTGTTAATGAAGAGGGGGCGACCTCTTTTCCTCCACGTGGAGAACGTTTATTTCTGCGTTATGCGCTTACATGGGTCGTTAAACGGATTGATTGCATCAAATGTTCAATTTTACTGAGCTTGCGCAAACAATTGATGTAAAATTTTTTTTAAAGCGTAATAGTAAATCAATCGAAATTTTAGGATCGAGTATAAAAGAGATAGTGAATTAAAATCAAAAATCGTGTATCTCTGATTTAAAAAATTTTAAACAAGCAATTTTTGAAAATAAAATTCTTGTTTGTATGCGCTTTTTTAAATTACTGTTTTAGCTGCACACTCAATTATTAGCCTGAAATATTAGTAAAGAGACCGCCAAGTACCGCTCTTCTTAACAGCTGCAACGTTCGTCATTTCATTATCATTTCTTCGTAGCTCTTCAGCTTTGAAGCAGCTGCTTCGCGATCGTCCAAGTGCTGCGAAGACATCATTTTCGAAAAAAGTGCGAAGAGCAAAGGAGAAGAGATCTCGGGGTCCATGTAGCCTTCTTTCTTTCTTTCTTTCTGTTTCCATCTTCCTCCCTCGACCGAATCTCATCGGAGATTCTCAACCGCTCAAGTTAACCGCGAGAAAGCGTTATGGCCGTAGACACGCCTTCCCGAACAGGAAATTAGCTGCCGACAGGCGGTTCGAATTATAAATTTCTAGGGAGAGTTCGTAGGAATCGCTTCTTTCGTTTCTTCCGCTACGTCTGATTCTATTTTATCGAAAACTTCAAAGAGCACACCGATCGTCTCCCTTTGAAACGCGATCATCCAATCCTTCACTTTTGAAAAAAATATATACACGAATTAGAAGACATCGGTAAGAATTTATTTCTCAAAATTATCTATTTTAAATCTAAAAAATCGTTGATAAATATTTGAGTTTTTTCTATTTATTTTCTATCGAAATTAAATTGTTTAATTTTGTAACAAAATAGAATTAAAGAATAAAAATAATGCAAATAAACGACTTCCAACAGACATTTTTAGTTTTATAAAATAAATCCGTATATTAATTTTTCTTCTAATTTGTTTGTATTTTTTATAGAGTAGAAATTCATCCAAGAAAAATCTGAGGAAACTTGTTTAAACTTTGCATGGATGCAAATAAAAATCAAAGAACCATACAACGTAACGAAAATCTAATAAATTTAGCGAATTATTGCAAAGTGTAAAAATATTTAAATATGTAAAAAAATTTGATAGACTGAATTCAACTTTCCCGGACTAAAAGTGAATATTATTTTCGATAAATAAGTATTTTATAATTGTCGGATAAGATTTTATTATATTTTATGATCCTCCGTTCTGATTATATGAGCATATGTACTGTGTATAGTCATCTACGGGATGCGAAGCAGAGAAGAACCGCTTTTGTCCCATGTCGCTACGTCAATTTTTGGCTAAGTTATATAACTTTTAAAAATCCAGCGTGGGCGTACCGTTTATAAGTGTGTGCGCGTGTACATGTGAGCACGTGCTAATGTTACGTAACTACGATACTACGATCAGCTGGTCACCTGACCGATAGGAACGGTCATTCAACGGCCTTGTAGGTCATTGGCCCTTGGTGGGGCCATGTGGGGGGACATGTGGCTCCATCATCATACGTCTTCGGTCGAAATCAGAATCACATGGGGGTCTAATCGATTCGAGATTGTATTCCATACAATTATCGATAAGTGCCTTGACGCGGAGATAAACAAGTTTTATCTGAAAACTGAGGCAAGCGGTCGCATTTGTCTCGGATAAATGATTTGCTAAGGTGAAAGAGCATCGCTTAATGACAAAAATGAAATTAATCCTTTCGAAGGGTTGACAAAAATGCGAAACAATTGCTACCGGCCGGCGTGTCAAATTTAGGTTAGAATGATCATTGTTGATGTAACAGAAAATATGATTATTTCTTAACACATTATCATAGTTGTTACAAATGTTTTTCAGACAAGTACAGCAGCTTTGCAGCCACGACGAGTGTTTTTGAACAATGTATGTACGCTTTGATCGAAAGGATCAAAAGTTTTATTCAAAATCCACTTAGTGAGAGTTTACAACAGTTTTTTAAGAAGATTATATAAAGGGATGTTTTCTCTATTTTAATATAAAACATGTCACAGTTTTATTTGTAACTGCATTTCATTCAGATTATGTACAGTATTTAGCTTTTCATGTAAAATTTAATAGAATGTGAGAGCTTTAACGATTAAACACTATAAAATTTTAAAAAGGATTACTTAGATCAATTTAATCGATCTTTTCAGCCTTAATGTCTTTCCGCAATGTTGTATGAGACATAGTGAGCTATAAAATATGTATATCTTTCGCAGACTCCTAGAAAGGCGTCGACGATTCGCCCTGTCAATTCTTGTGCGCCAGCAAAGGCTGAAGACGACGCGAGACTCCCTTTACGCATAGGTAGGAGACTACAAAGTGCGCGCATCAGGCCAGATGTCGGTCGAGCGGCCGTCTTTATGCCTGTCAAGTTGTACGTGGACGTCGACGAGAGCGACGGCCGGCGAAAAAGAGCATCGCGATACACTAGCGGAAGGGTAAATAAAATCCACGACGGCGCGGAGCGTCGCGTCGGCGGAGCGCCGTCATCGCGTCGCACGTCGTCACTGTCGTATCGTTTATTTGCTCCCCGATGTATATGCCGATCGGTTTTGCGAGAAACGTAAAAGAGTTAAAGCAAAATAACGGAAATTTGTCGTAAACGCTGTGTAAAGAAGATTTATGTAAAGTTATAAAATTCTATATATATATATATATATCATCTGTAATACAAATTTGAAATATTTTTTCTGATTTAAAAAAATTCTTTTAATGGATTTTTTTATAGCAAAGTAATTTATTGATTATTTTTGCATATATTAATTTGGATAATGAATATGATGACAATCAAGAAACTATTGTGATCAAAAAGGATGAGATGGGATACATTTCTGTGAAAGTGAATCAACAGAAAGGAAGAATGAATGAAGACAGTGTTTTCTTGTTTACTAGCTTCATCATTAGTAATAGTAATATAAATTCGTATATCCATAGATATTACAATTCAGAAGATGAATGGCATTTAAAAATATTAAACTACATTAAGATTGTGTTAAGTAATCATTAAAAAAGTTTTAATCCGAAGATTTTATTTCATTTCTAAATACTTCATGTAATTTGTGATACATGGAATATCTTGATAGATGATGGTTTATGTTGGTTAAAAATTTGTATGTATTATGTATGCATCTTATTTTCTAATACAAAAACATTCTTTATTTGCTTCTAGATGATGGATATATGAAAAGTGTGAGAAAAATGAAAAATGATAAGAAGACGCCATTTTTTCGCAGAGCTTTTCTCCGTCGCAAAGGCAAGAAAGAACGGAGAGGGATTCGGAACGTCGTGTGAACCGGATCTCGCATCGCCACCAGCTGTCAAGCCGACATGTCGTCTACTCCCGTCTTGTATTCAGCCCTAATGTCTTTCCGCGAGACACAACGAGCAACAAAAGCAGTACTTGAAATCATCAACGGCAAGTTTTGATACAATTTGTATCAGCGCTCACCCTGCCGAAAATATCTCTGAATTCAATTGCAAATAATTTAAAAAATTAAAATTACATATTTTTCTAATTTTCAAAATTAGACATTTGTTTAAATATTGTTTTAATTTGGACAAATTAATTATTTATTATAGCAGTAATATTTTTTTGATTCAATTCCTTATGTTTGCTACAAGCAAAGATTAACAGCAATTTTGACAAGAGCTGAAAAGACTGCTCAAGTGGAGGGAAAGAAATTAAGTCGAGATCTTGAAGGGAAAAAAACGTAGTAGCTGAGTTGCGTACATTTATGAGACATCTCTTTTATGATACTAGTAGATAGTATCCATTAGAGAAGTCCGTTGCGCGTCACCGATGTGTCGCAAAAAATGTTTATAAAAAAGTTATTCCATTTATATATATACGCGTATGACAAGCTATGCGATAATATTTGTTTATTTCACACGAAACTTCTTTATTAAAATTTGTTTATTTTAATTGATAAATATATTTTTTATACTTTTCATGTACGTCTGTGTTTTCGAAAATCTAAAGTTAATTAATAATAAGATTTTATATTTTTTCTATGGCAAATACTATTAATTATCAATAAAAAAATTAACATGAAAAGAACATTCTTCAGATCTTAATATTTCGCAGCAATCTTTTATCAAAAAATAAGCCAGTCATAATATTTCTTTAATTAATGCAAAGTATCTGCAATATCCTTTGCACACTCGGGGAAAATTTTTCTCGGACCTCGGAAAATAGAATTATATTGAATTATATCACATATGCTGAAGATGCTTCAGAACAACCAGTTTCACACAACATATGAAAGGTTCTCTGAAAACAATGGCGCAATAAATATGATATGACAGTTGCTTGCTTTCAGCATAGCGACAAGTTTCGGGGAAAGACAAGCGTTTGCCGCCTTTTTTTCTCATTTTCGTGAAAGATGATCGATTTGTAATGGTCCGGTCGTCCAAGAGCGTTAAAAGGACCGAGATGTCGACGCGCCGGGATAACGTGACGATCGACCCGCCGCCGTATTATTTTCGTCACAGAGTCAGGGATTTGGCGAAATCGCAGGAAGATCATGTTACGTCAAAGCAGAATGGTTAAGTTACTTTTTTAAGAAAGCAATCCTTCAATTACGTGTCCATTTGCATGTTGAATTATTTTATTTTGGAAATAAACGGATTTTTTCAACGAACTAAACTTTTAAATGAATCGAGATCAACATTATTTATTTTAATTTTCTAGCTAGGTTTGCTCACATGTCCTTCAAAATGTTAAACTGTTTCGAGAAGGAATTTCTTCGCAGTTTTTATTATATGTCAATAATATACTTGATAGCGCGAGATAGTGAGCTGATTTTTATAAAGATAATGTAATTGATGAATTATTTGTTGCCTTTTGTGCAGCCGACAGCAAACGTTCGATAAGTACAACAAGCAAAGCACCCAAGAAAAAATCTAAATACTGTACTTACTATATCCATGGAATGCTGGGAATTTGCATAATGTGCTTCGTCATGACTATGTTGTTTCCGTATCCACTGCACGCTTCCTGTATTGTAAAATGGTATTTGCACTATATACGCGTCCAGGCATAAATAGTTTCACAGTATAACTTAAAAAAAATGATGAAATTTTGTGTGATGGACTGCACTTATAAGAGACAAGCTCTCTCTTGTATATTCTTCGTCAAACTTAAATAAACTTTAATCGAAACTTGACTTTTTAAGGCATATTATAGTTATCGCAATATTTAACGTTTGGAAGCCCTTGTTACTTGCAGTCAAATTTTACAAAAGAAGCACTATTTTCAATTTCATTTTGTTCGTTGAAAGCGGCACACCAAAACATCTCACATTTAGAAGTCAATCGAACTAACGACAAACATTTCTAGTAAACTGAGAACGTTCAGAGTTTCAAGATGAGTTTACGTTCCACTATACTGTCGCGATTAATTCCAGTTTTTCAAAGCATCGCCAGACGCTTTTATCCTTCGGTAATAGCAAATGATTGTCACATCGTTTTTACGAGAACTAGAACATTCGAACAGTTTCTTTTGAACCAGACGTCTTTACCGCTCTCGCGGCATGTTATGTTATGTACATAGGGAAACTCAATATCGCTCGCGGCGTGGGGCTCGTATATTTTGCTTTGACCGGGATGACACCGCTCGAAAAATATACGATCCGCACTTTTTAACCTTATGAGAACGAGCTATCGCGCTGGTGGAACGTCGATATTATATTATTTTCAGTGGCCCTGTTCAAAATTGGTGTAAAAGTAATATTTTTTAAATGAACTAATGGATTTTTAATTTGCATTTGCTTCAGAAATAAATAAATTTGAAGACAATCAAGATAAATAACAACAAATAAATACAAATGTTTTTACTCAGTTATTTTCAAAGATTAGAATTTTGTAATTTTATAAAATTAATTTGCTTTACTCTTATATATTATCTTATATAAAATATTCTAAAGTTCCAAAAATAATTTTGATATAAAACAAACATAATAACATATTCTAACATAGAATATTATATATTTTCAGATTCTTTTTTCTTAAATCTTTAAATTTTTTTACCAAGGCGCGCATTAAATGTTTTTTAAAAGCAGCTATGTTGACTCTAGGAAGTTTGACGATCCGTGCACATATGTAATGCAGAAATTTCGATGTCAAATAATGAATTGGTCCTCGTGGAACGTTTGCCGACAACGTGAGGGCAATTGTCTATATACAGTGAGAATACAATCTTATCATTAATTCAAATTAACGTCAATTGATTAACTTAATTAATTTGTAATCTTGTGACAGCTGAAAGTACCAGCAGAGGAAAATGTAATCCAAGCGACGCACAGGATGTCGAATCTGAAATCACTTGAAAAAATCAAGATTGTCTTTGAGGAGAGGAACAACACATGCTTTGCTACAGTGAGTTTTTGAAATCGTCACTATTCTAAATCGCTATAAAAGTATGTAGAAGTGCGTACTCGTAAACTGCGCAAAGTTATACACGATGTCTTATCATTATTACAAATTCCTGATTTTTCTTTGGTAAACATATGCAAGTTAAGATACGAGTTATCAAATGCTAAATCAACAAATAAATCATCGTTTAATAGGGCGATTCTGTATCAAGCGGATGGTTCACGGTATTCGATTACGGCGCGAATTATTGCAATCTGCGTAACTTGGTGGTGGGAGCCGGTCTTGATAGGCACATGAAATTTCTGGAGCTGACGAGTGATGCTGTGTGCACGCAATTTGACATGGCAGTCTGCGGATGAAGGAAGACGGGATATTCGTTTGTGGATTTTAAACATTGCGCCGGCTTTCCTGGAATGTCGCAGATGGAAAGCACAATAAAAAACACAATTGATAAAAAAAAACACAAGTTTATATTTGTATCAATTTACACAATTTTGTACAAGAGTTATAAGATTACCTACACCGCAGAAAAGTACTTTGTACTTTGTACTTTGCCATATTTTTATGAAACAATAAATTGCATATCGCTAAATGATTTGCTAATTGTATTTTATGATTTTTTGAATAAAATAAAAATAATAATATTTGTGAAAAAAAAACTTAAATATTGTGTGATATTCAAATTTTATAATATTTTTAAGTATTATCATATATATATTAATGCTTTTAGATATTATTATCATCATTATTCATTATTATGAAGTAGAAAAATTGTACATTTATGAATACATGTATGATACAATGATTTATCACTGAGAAAATCTATTTCTATATTATGTCATGAAAAATAGTATTTCTATAAGTACGTTTTAACATGAAAACATCCTAACTTGATATTTAAGTCATCAAAATTAAAACAAATTCTGTAAATTAATTAATACTAACACTTAGGTTAAAATATATACAAATGTAATATTATCAAGATCTAACGTAATACCAAACTTTTAAGACTTGTATTTTTTGAAACACTTACTGAAGAAAAAAAATTAATCAATTCTTTACTAAAACGCATTGTGCGCTACACATTGCAAAATAAATAAATAAAGTTCTTCAATTTTCTACTCAACAATAAGCAACGTAATCAAAGGAAGATCACAATTAATGATCACAATTGTAATATATATAATAATTACTAAATATTGATTGGATATTTATTATAAATTTATTTTATTATTAATTTCTAGCATATTTAATATTATTATATAATACTTTTTTATTATTAATATAATAAACAAATTTATAATAAATATCCAATTAAATTTTAGTAATTATTATATATATTACTATCGTCAATCTTCCTTTGATTATGTTGCTTATTGTGTTAGTAGAAAATTGAAGAACTCATCGTTACTTTCACTCTCATTATAACATTTGACATAATTTATTCGAATTTCGTTCAGTCATCCAGAACAGAGGTGCCAGTAGCGTGACGGTGGCAGTAGTTTTGCCCAGGTGAAGGATGAAGCCGACAACGTATGCCATTTCTCGTTATTCCCATACAAGGTACTTTCAACGTAGATGACGTAGATGACGGAGTTGTGCTATAACATATACGTTACCATATATATTTTGTACTATTTTACCAGATAGTGAAATTGTGCTATAATAAAACTCTATCATTCTTTAGTTATTTTGTATGTGATAGGAGAATCTTCTCTCATAACATTATTCACCTTCTAGACGTATACACTCTACGCTGGGAATGTTTCAATCTATTTCTATCTAAAAAGTTGTCAACATCACGATTATCATAGTTCTCGTATGATGGCATCCTTGCATTGAAAGAATCATTATCCGTCAAATCGTCCGATAACATACTCAGGCACTCCTCATAGTTATCAATGATGTCCTCGCGTTTCTTTTTTGATGGTTGATAGGAACAGGAGAGCTCCTCGCGTACTTTGAAACCGCGTTGATTCCAATCAATAATCGACTGTATCAAGATATTGATTTTTCCTGAAAATGATAGGATATTAGCAATTATTATTGGATTTTTCTCATGCAATTTTTGTTTTTATATCGAAGAAGTACCTGTACATCGGTTTAATTGCAAAACTATAAAATTGTAGAATTCCTGCAGGTTCTTCATTAATCTTGTGTGCAATTGCGCCTTCGGCATGGAATTGGAATATGTCGATGATACGTGTGCGCTTTCATTCGAATGTCCGTTCTGGTAAATCACTTTAACTGTCTCCGTCTTCGTATTTAATCTTGGCCCAAATATGCGTTGTATGCCCAGCATAACAAAATGCACTGTGTTAAAAAAAATAGATACATAAAACATATATCAATATAAGACACAAAAAATTCAAATACTTCGTGCTTTAATTATTGCTTAATTTTTCTTTAAGAGATTTTCTTACATTAGATATATTAGAGTATATTATATATATTTGGATTCGCATAACTCACTTGCGGTCATTAAAAATATTAACACTGTTATGGCTGTAAAATCTAGAGATGCTTCTACGCCAAGTTTCAAGTAAGTTATAAGATTCATCGGTACAATTCCCATGATGGAAGCTCTCGTTAAAAACGGCATTTGTAAAAACGCGGCGACTATCATCGCCACTAATATGTATATTACATGTAAAAATATGCGATATACTTTCTGTACTCGTTCACCTAAAAACATAAAAATATATATATATATATCGACACATATTTCACAGATGTCAATTTAACGGAATAACTTCAATAGAACAATTTTTTAAAATTTGCAAAATTGCCAAATAAATCGCTCTTGCGGTGCAAATATATTTGATGTGGTAATACCGGTATCTCCAATGTAATCAGTAATCCACTCCAGCTTCTGGTCTATTTCTGCGCGCATTGTATTAGAGAGATTCCAGATATATTGAATAGTATCGTTAATTTGCATGAGCTTCTGCATCGTTTGTTCGTATTGCACGATAGTATCCTCGTGTTGCTCCACTATGCGATTAGTGCTGATTTCAATTTTCTCCAAGATCGATTGAGTCTGTTCTTGTATGTTGATTAAGTCTCGTAATACTTCCTGGTGATTCTCTCCTCGCTCCATAGCTTGCTGCTCGAGATCCTTATGTGCGTTTTCTGAAAAAAAAAAATATATTACGATGAGTTCAGAAAGAAATATAAATAGCGAGAATATACGAGAATTAACGAGTTGAGTTATAACGAAAACGGGATGATTGGAGAATAACGTTAGTTGTCCGATTTTTAAACAGATTGCAAACCTAATTTATTCTTTATATCTTCCGCCATAGCTGCGAGTTGAGCGTGTCCGGATCGTATTAACGCTTTTTCATTGTTCAATTCTCTGAGATTCGTTGTTACAAGCTTATGGGCTGTTACTTGGGCGTCTTTTAAATACTGTTGCTGTTCCAGCAGCGCCTTGTTTCCTTCAGTTAACGATGACAAAGCCTCTGTTGTTTGTTCCTCCAAACGATTTTGACTTTCCTGTTTAGTCAACAAGATCTCAATTAAAAGCAAGTTGATATAAATCAACTTAAAGAAATAGGTCTTATATAAACTACCTTCAAGGAGGTCAGTGTTTGAATTTGAGAATGCGCTGACTGCATCAACTTGTTGACAGTCAACTCTGTAAGAGCACGAAATTGTGTATTCCGAGCCGCATAACAAACTGCTCTTGCTCTGTTACTCATTAGATGGTACGCATTCCACATGTTAGCATCCATATCCGTTGTACACTGCTTAAGAGACTAGAAGCAAATATTATATTTTTATACTTACATGATGAAAGCTAGGCTACTATGATTCTGTTGCATGCACAGGTTCTCTCAAGATTAATTATTTTTAGCACTATTTATATTTGCACAATTGTTATTTATCTACACAACTCTTTCTGAGTGAAATTAAATAATTTTTATTCCATGGACAGAATAATATAGGTAACGATACAACACGTACTAATGTAAGACTAGAACCCTGAACTTTGGGGAGGTCTTCAAAAAAGAAGGGAGGGGGGAATATGCAGGTTTGAACATGCATGGAAGCACGTTACCCTCTCAATTCATGAGACATTCTACAGTTATGTATTGTATTCTATTGCTAACATTGTAAGTCAGCTGTATAGAATATTCAATAAATAAATAATAAGCATTATTTATCAATAAATTTTAATAAAGTATGTGCAGCTACATAAAAATTGCATTTATTCCACTTAAATAATTTCAACAAATTTTGCAGGATAAACAAAATGCAATTAATTGTGAAACTAACAAGATATAATGCAAATAAGGAAATTCTTGCATTACATTTCCAAGATGTTGTATTCTAAAAAATACATACCATTTCTTCAGTACAAGGAAAGGTTTTTCTCCCCTCAACTGCTGCTTGACAATTAAGAAGGTTGACACTCAACTTGGCCAACTCTTCTTCTGTTATATCGAAACAGGAGGTTTTGATCTTCATGATGACTTTATGCTGACAGATTTCCAATGGAGAGGACAACTGAATATCCGTGAACTTGGCAGCTTCTTGAAGGAATTTCTCATCATCTGTCATCATTTCGTAAGGAATTGAGATCAAAGGTACACCATCGGCAACCACGACATTTGCATCCTCTGTGCTTGTTTTCCATATCCAATTTAATACAGATGTATTACCAATATTACAATTAAAAGACACGATAAATGTCAACAACAGAAGTTTGCAATCTATTTTGAACTGCATTGTGTCCAATTAATTAATCCACTGCCTGAAAGAAAAAAAAACAATCTTTAAATTATTTTCACGGTTATTATTAATTTTAGCGACTGAAATGCACAAGAATTACTTAGAATTATTAGCGAATTATTTAAAAACAGACGAACAAAAGTAATTGAAGTACACACAGACACTTACTGATAATGAAATTAATACCGAAGAAATGACATTACAAAATCACGTAAGCGACAACTAAAAATAGATAGAATTCGTTACATACTGAATTGTCTGTTTCAAAACAATCATTTGCCTGATAAATTTCGTTAAACAGATATCACGTCGAATGAGATTTCGATCATTTTTACAACTTGATATAATAAACTCCTTTTTGTCACGTCACACATGAGCAATGAAAAAATGTTTCTGTCGATTCAAACACGATGATATGCATAAACTTTTGGAATACCGATCTGTCCGTGAACTCTAACGACTGCGCTGTTTAAATATGCGTAGCAACCGGTCAGCAAAACCCGCCAATTATGCAATTGCATCTGGTGAGATAGTATTTATTTTTATCCATTTTTTATTATTCACCACTAAAAATTGTGCTTTTATTACAGAAAATATTAAAATTACTTTTTAAGAGTGTATAATGAAAAATATTAAAATGATTTGCTGTTTGGTAAATCAAGTATATTTTAAGGTTAGAGCACGTGACCAACCGTAAAAGTGACCAATCATCGTAGAGCGGCAAGCACTTTAACAAACTGTTACGATTCGACTTGAGAATATTTATTTCACATTAATACAACCGCAGAAATCCATAGAAATTATGTAAATCACTGAACATGAAAAACATGTAATAACTAAATAAAAAACTTATTCGCAAATATTTTTATATCACAGTTTTTCTTATTTCTGCTCCGGCACAACTTCACTGATACCATACATCCCGGCCAACAAGCGCCCGTGAGACGGAGATACTGGCTCTTTCGGCGGCAGATATGGTCCTTTCTCTCCCATATATACGTAACTTTGAAATTTATTAAGAAAAAGATAGTGTCAAACATCAAATAAAAAGAAAATAGTCGTATAAATGTCGTATAAGATAGACTATTGCTCTTTTGCAATTAAAACGAATCTAGTTAGAGTTTAAAGATTTAAGTAACCTGTCAGCAGGTTCAAAGATATACTGCATTCATTATGAAAATGTCTGGCTTTTTAAACTATTGTTAATTAATATCGTTTTGAAGAAATAAAATATATTTTATGTAGAAAAAAGGATACGGCAGTCTTAAGATCCAATATGCACTCTGCGACAGTTTGATCGGTTCTTCGCATCCGGTAACGAATATTGGACAAGGTGGAGGACCAGGTTGAACCCGGGGGTTCAAAGTGACGTGCACTGGCGCTTTGGGTGTCACGATGTGGATTTTCATTAATTGAGCGATAAGTTGTTTAGTTTGTCTAAAAGAGAGAAACATATGTGTTCGAAAAACGTATTGAGCCTACTATTAAAAATTCTACGAACCTGCAAAGACACGGAAAGTAAAGTGGCATGTCAGCCGTGTTGGACGTCACTTTATTTCCGCTATCCTTCACTATTCCGTTCCCGGTCGCCTTCAGCACTTTGTCCGGCGCGGACGCCATGAATCTATGTCCGCGCGGACACTCGTACTCCACCCCGACAAATATTTTCACTACGAACTCCTTGCCGCCCTTCGACTTGCGACCACGAATGTTGTTCATGTTCTGGAAATTCTTGCCTCCCCGCGGACAGTAGCCTCCGTGAGTCCCATGATCGCCCACCGTAGGCCACAACGAGCTCCGTTCCTTCTGATGCTCCAATCTGTGATGGGTATTTTTTCTTTTTAAGAATTTTTCGCAAAATGCGTTGAAGGCGATATCTGATTACAGAACTAGGGTCTTTTCTTCACCTGACAGTCACATCCCACGGCAGCAGGAACGCAGAGGTGGGCAATATTCCCGTCTGATGCTGCAGCCCTAAATTGTGAGAATAAAGGCTGCTCGGTCCAAGGCATACCAGAGACCAGCTGGAGAACTGTGGTAGCAAGCCGGCTGGCGACTCAGTGTGCAGCATTCCGGGCAAATATTCCGTCGTCGATGGCTGCCGGACTAGAGATTTGTCTAAAAGCACACGTACGTACAGTGCACATTCCTCCCGTTTGGATGGTCGCGTATTAACATAGCAGCGCGATGCATAAAATACCTTTGGAATTTTCCGCGTCGCTGTCAGTAACTTCTATAACAACCTTGTGCGTGTCGCTCGGCGTGGGACTCGTCTTATTACTCAGTCTGGTGATATCTTCCTCGATCGGATCACTCGTCGCCAACGACTGACCGCCGCTACCGTAATCTGTAATTTCATCTGTAGTAACGTCGGAATTAATTATGATATTCGTCAATTAGATGCCACATTCGACGCGGTGACTTGCCATTTAAGGTATCAGCTCCTAAACTGCAAGCTTGCGTGTCTCCTTGAGGCGTAGAGGATCCGTTGCGACTGAAGGAATCGTGGCGCTTTGTCGCGGAAAATAGCTGCGCCGCTCTGCGCATGGAAGATACATGTCAGTACTTTCTGTCGTGAAAAGAAATCTGATATTGTTTAACCTGTAATTGTGCGTGCTGGGTTGAAATACGGGGAACTGTATGCTTTCCAGTTGCGCGCAACCGCACTGCTTGGCCAGCATTTGGAAGTAGTCGTAGTTGGCCTGTCTTAGACTGAAGGGATCTTCCCTCGAGCCTTGAATCCGACCGCAGTTGCACGCACACACGTATCTAACGCCGCTACAATGCTCTCTCACAGGCAATTCGCTGAAAAAAAAAATGCGCTGTAAGTAGTTGAAATAGGAATAAAAAGATTATTGTTCACAGAAGAACATACCTGTCGTCCTCTCTGGGTTCCGCTTGCTCTCCACCTCCCGCACCTTCGCTGCCTCCCCTGTGAATGGGATTTGTGCAAGGATGACCAGTGAGTGACAGTACTTCGCACATTTGCCTGCCGGCTCGCCAATGTTTGTCGCATTCGGCCTGCAATTTCTCATTGAACTCCTCGAACAACGGACCGCGAGCATGCATCTCGAAGACCGCCATTGCGTGCGCCAATTTGGACTCATGATACGCTCTAAAACATCATCGTTTCCGTTAGAACACAGTATTCTGAACAATAATCATTTTAAGCGACTTTACCTCGTATAATGCTGCGGCAAATTTTCTTGGTACGCTTGTAACGCGCGTGGAAGTACCTTGCTACATCGGCTTTTACTGAATTTCACATCGGTGTCTAACAAATTATGAAGCGTCGATAGTTCCTTGTCGGTTCCGTGAATGAAGTAGTCGAATACTTTACTCGCTACTTGGCAAAATATGTTTACAGTAGGTATCTGTAAAAAGTTATTTATATCTTTAGACGTAAAGAAATGAGAAGGGAAGTAACTTATTCAACATTAATGTTGTTCAACGTTGATCATTATTAATTATTAAATTTGTTAATCTTCATTTTGCATTTAATTATTTATTATATATTCACTAATTATTATTAATTAATTACAGTTTACAAACATCTACCTCAAAATGAGCTGGTATAGAGTGCCGACTGACATTGTCATCAAATCCTCTTGCAAAGGCCAGATTTATATGCTGCTGCAAAAACGATCTGAACGTACGAGGCTCTGTAAATACACGAGATTTATATTTGTAGATAGAATTACGACTTGCATTTTATTTTCATTTATCTTGGTCTTACCAGTATCAGAATCGTCGGGTACAAGACTGTTTGAATCTAAACTAGCAAGGCTTCTCGATGTTGTACCACCGGAACTGACTTTACAACTTTGCATTAACTTTCTCGCCATATAACCCAGCATGTCCTTTGACTCCGTGCTTCCGGTATATACATACACAAATTCCTGATTGGCTGGTATTGCAAATAAGGAATTCGAACTGCAAGTGAAGGAACATTATATTAAATGTCTTGGTGGTTTCTTTTTTAACGAGATTACGCATTAATATGATACCTGATATTAGTAACAATCCTATTTTTTCTTAAAACATGGTAAATTTGATCTTCCAGGGAATGCTCTAATTTTTTAATATTTGCATTGCTGTCTGAATCTTGGAATACTGTAGGACAGGTTTCGAAGTAAAATAACACGCGCGGTGAACAAGGCCTAGCATTTGCAATCCAATCCTTAGGTAGACTATGAATGGAGTTTAACACATCTGAAAGTTGTGGAGAAATCTTTTGCCTATCACAAAAGTATCACATTATTATTTCAGCAGAAAATTTAAATTTTATCCATATATCAAGTTATTTCTCATAATATATATATTAACTTGTTCAAAGTCAATACTGATGTGCTAACCTGACTATATCCATAGCACGAAATAAATGCACATAACTGTAATCAAAGGTGTGCGTTGGATGAGTAAGCACAATCACATGAGATATGTGAAACATCACCAAGAGTGCTCTTGCATATTTATCTCTCATATGTGCCCACACGCTGAGAAAGTCTTTGCAATCTTGTTTTTCTGTGAACTTGTCATATTCGGTCAAAAGTGTATGAGTATCCAAGAACCCTCTTAAGTGTAAGTAAATTGTCTTCTCTTTAGCATCATGATATCCTTCGATTTCACACTAATAAATAAAATACTTATAATTACAGTACTATTTGCTAAGTTGGCATAAAAAGATCTAAAAAGATATATGTTACCCAAGAATCTTCGTCAATCACTGGTTCATCCAAAAGATTCAACTGGAGTATGGAACTGAGCATATCTGTTTTGCATCCTTTCGCTTGATAATGAGACTTGCCAAACACTGAGACAATCACCACCTTCTTGTCAGTCTGTGTGAAACTGAAATAGAGCCATGTAAAAAGATTTAAAAAAGGGACCACTTCATATGGAAAAAAAAGTTGAAAGTTAAAGAAAAAGATACTTTGAGATTGATTTAAAAATTAAAAAAGTTCTTTCACTTCCTTCACTTTTTGACTTTTTCTCATATAAAATTAATATGTACTGTCTAATTTTAGTGACAATGGGGAATATTGAATAAATACTACTCGCTTTTCATGAATAATAAAATCATTACCTCTCCGCATTACACGGTAGCTTAAACTTATGCGGTCTCATTATGAGTTTGTTTATATTTACTCATCTACATGTCACTAGTCGCAAATAGGTTATACTTCGCACAGCATTATCGTTGGAGCATTTTATGCTATTACATATTTACCGACGGTTACCAGTCGGTCGTTAGTAGTCGTTAGTGGCGCTAACCAATTTGAAAGAGACTTGGAATCTACTACAAATAATCGTAATAACGAGTATTATCTTTATTGAAATTAGTCTACTAATTGTGTTTACGCAATTAATGATAATTAGTCTTTTCTTGTGAAAGTGATATATACATATTTCATGCATCAATCTTAAATTAGCACAAATTACAATTAGATAATTGACATGCAAATACATCGTATAGATTAATAATGTATTCAACAATTAAAAAATTAGCTAACTAAAAAGGCTTTATAAAGACCATTCGAATAGATAACACACGTTCTTCGATAAGTGAATGATACTCTTTCTCTGTCATCTCTCAGTGTTAAAGTCAAAACTGCAGAGTTAAACTTAAAATTACCTTGTGTCAATTTTAAGTGTTTTTATAATTTTTTAACATTATTTTAATCAGAAATATTTTATTTAATATTATTGGTGACTTTTTAAAAATTCTATTTATTAAAATCGCGAAGGTAGATTCAAAATATTAGTGTCATTTATAAATTAAAATTACTAGCATTATTCTAATTAACTATTTTAACCGAATTGAGATTATTGGTGTAACGCAAAAGCGTACGCATTTGTTGAAATTACCTGTTGATGTTAATTGAAATTCGCTCATTCGATGTCGTTGTCCGATAAAGACATCAATATAATGAATATCAAGCTTGATAAAGAGAGAACGAAAATGGGCAGCTTCGATTACGCCGTTGCGATAAATTTCTGGTGCATGAGAATGGTGGGTGTTTGGCCCTTGAAGAATACGTTGTACTCCAATCTACAATGCGGTTTGATCGTCATACTTATTAGTCTTTTGTCGCTGTCCATAACGATAGAATTGTTAATGATAAGAGAATGGAATGTAATAATACGTCAGGCTATTCTAACAATCCCGTGGATTCCAGTGATAGGAAGATTTGTGTTTATGAAAGTGTTTATGAGCAAAAATTTTCGTATTATTCTACATACTATGATCGCCGATTGGAAGGATTACCGCTGTCTGCCGAAACGAAATCAACAGATTATGGTTTATTATGCTAGAAAGAGCAGGATGCTCAACATATTTAGCATAACGTTGATGGGATTTTCGCTAGCAGGTGAGAAACCGGATTTGTTTTAAAAACGAGCGCTTCTTATAAAAACAAATTAAACGCTTTGTTTCAGGATACATGTTGACGCCAATTATAAATACGTGGAACAGCGACGTTCCTTGGAACACAACGACAAGGAGTTTGCCTATTAGAGGATTCTTTCCTTTCTCCTTCAAAGAATCGCCCGTATTCGAGATACTCTACACTATGCAATCAATTGTTGGATTTTTTGCTTGCACGATGATAGTCTCCATAGATTGCTTCCTTTGCACCGTCATGTTGCACGCGTGCGGCCAATTCGATATACTCGCCGCCACTCTGGAGCGATACGATAGCTCCACCAGACACGATTATACGAAGGATATGCGTTCTCGTACTTGCGCTTGCCTTTCATGCTTTGTGAAGAGACATGTGCATATCTTAAAGTAATTAGAATCATATTTTTTGTATGAGAAAAGGTTAGAATATTGTGCTTTTTTCTAGCCATTTATAAAATTTTATGATATTTCAGGTACATGGACATCGTACAAAGATCTTTTAGTGATTTCCATCTTATACAATTACTGACTTATTGTTTTAATTTAGTACTTTGTGGACATCAGCTTATCACGGTAATAAACTCTTACAATATTATATATTATATATATTGTAGGTGCATATATTAATATAATAAATTTTTTTATTCTTCTTTAATAAGACAATTTTTTGTTTTAGTACTTTCAAGATCATAATTTTTATGATTTCATTACTTTCATTATATACGTATTGACAATAACATGCATTATTTTCATATACTGCTATCTTAGTGAATGTGTCATGGAAAAGGTAATTAATCTGTGTATTGTCTAGTATTTTTCTTTCATTTTTCTCATATGTTTAAAAAATAATGATTATAGTGATAATATAAAAACTAGTGTTGTCAGAACCGGGTACCCGGATATTGATGGCAATAAAAACTCTTATAAATAAACAACTCTTTATAAATAACAAATTTTCATATAAAAAAAGCATATCTATAAAATACACTCGCAAATTTAACAATGTAATGATATTATTTTTTATTTTTAATATAATTAATTTTATATAATTTAATATAATTAATTGTAATATAATTTTTTATGTAACAATCGATGAAGAGCAAAAACATTGGAACAATAGCGTATAATTTAGAGTGGTGCCGTTTTCCGCGGGATTCCAATCTAGCTATTATAATAGCACGTTCAAGAATACCTTGTAAAATTACCGCTGGAAAATTTGTCACGATGTCTTTCTCTTATTTTACAACAGTAAGTACTTTTTATTGTATAATAATTTTTTGAAATAATTTAACTTATTATTAACTTATATTTAACTTATTAACAATACTAATATGTACATTTTTATGTTTAGATCATAATAAGTATAATATCGTACATATCCGTTCTTGCGGCATTTAAATGAAGTCATTATTTATATTAAGAAAATATATATCTAATATCTGTATGTAACAAATTTATATAAATCAACTAGCAAGAGAAAATTATTGCAATTTATAGATGTTATTATAAAAATAATGTTTTATTATGTATCGCTTATGGTATATAAATATATGTATAATGATGTTTGCATAACATTCCCTTAAAGACAATTCAATACATATCAATATATTAGGTTTTGTTAGAAATAATTTCTGCGAAAATTTTAAACTATTCAATTACAAATCTCTAGAATTACACACAAGGAAATCAATCAATTTTTTATTAAAACACATATATTGTACACTACATGTGAGTAATAAATATTCTATATAATTTATATAATAATTATATATTATATATTATAAACATTATTATTGCGATCGTTGAATTTTCCTTTAATTAAGAATTATATTATAAAAAATGATATCAATTTAGTAGAATAATTTCAATAAAATAACAATTAATAAAAGTTTTTTTAAATTGTCAAAATAAATTCTTTTGCACTGTAAATATTCTTCTTTATCCTTTGAGTGATTCTCGACACGATATATGGTGGCGCTTTTGCTATTCCCCACTTCTTCAAAAGACCATCTGACTACGCGAGTGTACAAAATATACACAAGCAATTGGGTTATGTTATTATCAAACCACATAACATATATGCAATCATTTACGACGTTTAATTATATATTTTCAATATGACCTCATCAATAGGACGCAGAATTCTTACAAAATTATGCAGAAGCAAATTAAACAGTTTGTCATCGCAAATTATTGTCACAAGATTTAGCAGTATAGCTACTGAGGAAAATGTGAAGTCTGTGAGAAATGCCATTCCTGCTTTGCAACCGGGAAAAATTCAAGCTGCATTGCTGAAAGAATTTTCCAATCCGCTCGTTATCGAGAATGTCGAGCCGCCGAAAAGAGTGCAAGTAAACGAAGTAAGTATAATACTTAGTTAAAAGCTTACTATATTGCAGAAATTAATTTAAATATTATTTTCATAATTCTAAGTAATGTTAAAGTTTGTATTTGATTAGGTCAATAATAATATCAAGAATGTATTGATGTAATTGGAATTATTTCTTCCAGGTTCTCATTGATGTTCATTATTGTGCTTTGAATGCTTCCGATACGCTTCTCAGCCAGAACTTGTACACATTTGAACCAAAATTACCGATGGTTCTTGGTTATGAAGTTGTTGGGAAGCTGATTGAGATCGGTGCAGAAGCAGAGAAAAATGGCTACAAAGTTGGCGATAAGGTCATCGCTCTTAACAAGGAACGATACGGAGGCTTAGCTGATAAATGTCTGGCAGAAGTTGGAGTATGAGATATACATATATATATATCCAGAACATAAATTTTCTTACGTAATTGTAATCTTGCTAATAACAATGTTATTTTTTAAAGGATATATGGAAAGCACCTCCTATGGCAAGTTCCAGAGATGCTGCTAGCATCCTGGACAACTACATTACTGCTTTAGTTGCTCTAGAAAGAAAAGTCAATATTGACGAGGACGACATGATCATAATAAACGTTGGGATAAGCGGCGTTGGCCTGGCAGCAGTGGATCTTGCGACAAATGTCTTCAAGGCTAAGGTTCTTTTGCATTTTATTATTTAAATGTAATATTCATAATTCTCCAGGCTATGGCATAATATTTATTTCTCTATTTCTTATTAATAAAAGCCTAGATTGAATAGAATGCAGCAAATTAAAGAGAATCTTACAAATGTAACAATGTTATATTACAAAAGGTCGTAGGAGTTTGCGCTTCAGAGGAGGGAGCGGGCCAAGTGCGAGAAAAAGGAGCGTTTGCATCTCTTAAATACAAAGATAAGAAATTATTGAAGCAGATAGAGGAAATTGCAGCCGAACGAGACATCAAAGGCATCTTCGACGACGTCGATGGAGAATGTTTCAAAAAGATATTAAGTTGGTGAGTCATAAAGATCTAATCAATAGAAGTAGATTTCTGGCACGTTTGAAAGAGACTGGCGCACTTGGATTTCCGTCGGATAAGACACCGGTAGAATACGTGATGTTTTTAGCTTCACCGACGTCTACAAAGACGCTACGTTGAAGGACTTGCTGCGTGATGACAATTTTGCTGTGGTGGTGCATCATTTGTCTCGCGAAGGTACACAGTCTCTCTATTTTTTAACTTAGATATTTATAATTTAACATTTGGACGTTGTATATTCACTTGTAGCCTTTGTCATGAAGGGCGCGTGATCGTAGCTGGCACGGCAGCGGCCACGACGGATGTTCATTCAGAGGTGCAGAAAGGTTCTTTCAGCGTCACGGGCTTCAATCTTACGGAATACAGGAGGAAAAAGCCTGACGTATATCGGTACGTTTTTATTTCTTTTCGCCCGTTGTAGAATAAAATTTCATTTGTGTCGCATTTGTCTGAAAATTAGCGAAGCAGGAGACAACGTGTTACAATTCCTTGAAGAGAAGCTCATTACACCATCTTGTTCGCTGATTGTTGGCTTGCACAAAATTAACGATGCCTTACGATTTCTTGCTGAAAGTAAATCTTCGGGGAAAGTAAGTGGTAGATAGAATTTGAATTCTTTTTCCATTGTCTTTTTTCCGCATATTAAAAACTTATCGAGCAAGCTTATAAGTGTTGCTTGAAAAATTGTGTGGCAAATAAGTTAGCATGTAACATTCGCAGGTCGTAATTGACATCAGAAACAAGGATGCTGATGCAGTGAAAGTGACGGCATAAAGAGATCTGTATGAATTCTTCATAAGTAGTCTACAATTTCTAAGTTCCAATGCGATTTAATAACAAAAAATATTTTTTTGCACAGTGATATTTTGTATATATCTAAATATGATAAGTATTATATTTATATGAATATAAATATATATTATATATAATAAAATGTTAAGCTTTTATTTTTAAAGATTGCCAATAAAACTTGCTTCTTTCAAACTGCGCCTTACTCGAAATCAAACTCTGCGAATCGTAACGCTCTACATTGCAATCGGCAGTGCTGTTGGTATTTCCTTTACAGCGGTGTTACAGCTTTTTTTATCGTTTCAACTTTAGCATTACCAAAGATTTACGGCCGCTTGATTAGACGCGGTTTATGCAAAATGATTGACAGCGATTGGTTCGATTAAGTGAGCTATTTTAATGAGTCATGAGCCTCATTGCTCATGCCGGAGGCGGCGCGTTGACATACGAGTTACGCAGCAATTTTTACGCACACCGTAATGTGCCGGTGTGTTTAAGCAGGATAGCTTTGCGGATGATTAACGGACATATGGGACATCCGTCAAAATTGATATACATCATGGGAACCGTGAACACGCGAGCCGCTCTCTTCGCGTCACAGCAGCATGCGAGATTACATTTTGCGTATCGATCGGCAGCACAATTCTCATTCAGAAAATTAATTTATCTATTAATTTTTCACACGCGGAAAAGTGCTTAAAGAAATTTTGAAATGCCTGAAACAATTCTTCTAGTTCGCACATTTCAATAACTTTTTGATAACTTTATTTAATTCGGCGATTAACTCTTTGCTCGTCGGGTTAATTAGCATTTTCGATGTACAAAAGGGAAGCAGTGCGCAAATTGTTCTCGTCCTCCGTCTTGGTCTTTGCGAGAGGTCTTTTAGGCGATAGACGTGGAAACGTCTATCAAAAGTGATTAGCCGGTGACTCACGATAGCGCACGGCGTGGGTGCACGCCAAATTGCACTAGCTGATCGTGATCCAACACCGATACCCCTCTCTCCGAGATCAAATGTAATTGCAAAATTGTGTCGTCCTTCTCCCGGACATCCTACGTTGCGCGAAGGCTACCGACTCGATCGAAACCTGTCATGTTACTTAGGAATGTGACGGAACGCAACACCCGTGATTATTACGCCCGATGTGTTTAGGTTTATCAAGGCTACTTTCGTTTATGCCTGACCTTCAGAATTATTATGAATATTAATAGAGTTATCGATTGCGTTAAAATTTGCACAGAAGAGTCTAATATTGTAGGAAATAATAATTGTCGAAATTAATTACTTAAGAATTTATTTTGTCGTCATCATCGATTCAGTTTATGAAGAGCAATTTTTCCAATAGACGTGTTCGCTCTTTTGACGCTTTTTTTTTGTATATAATTCCAGCATTTTGATGTTACAATTTTGTCTTGTAATAAAATTTTTCTTTATTAAAGATTTTTTTTTTTATAATAAGCTGAACATCAACTTTTGCGTGGTTGCATTACAAATTCACATATACTGATATGTTGATAGTTGACACATTCCAGCTGTACACCAGCCTGCGGTGAAGGCCAATTAGAGCGGTTTTATGTCGTTAATCATAAAGTGGTTCGAGTTCAAGGTGGCCTCTTTCTGATTAATCGTAGGCGTGGATTTCAAAATTCAATTGTCCAGTCTGGCTCGGGACACACCGTAGACAGGGGTTCCTTATGTAAATTTGCTTTCCCCTCCTAAACCTTGGAGTAAATGGGCAACGACGCGCCGTCGCCGTCGCGGAATCGAGGAAAATTGCCTACGTCGATCGTTCGCGTTCCGCGCAAATTTCAAGATTGGAACACGGCACTCGTATATATGCACAAAAATGTGTAAAAATTTATTTATAACCATATTAATTCCTACAATTCATTTAACGTTCGCAGAAAAATTGTTTAACTATTAACGGACATGAAATATGTATGGAATATTGCGAAATGTATGATGTAAGGCTTTTAAAGTAAGAAATTAATAATTAGGTCGCTAGATAATTAATAAAAGAACGTGGTGAAAGTGCGTATTTTGTGCTGAATGTGACTCGTCGATTCTTCTCTCTCCTATTGATATAAAACGATGATTTTCGCATTAGGCGGATAAAAAGAGGATTCCAGACATTTATAGCGTTTTTAACGTGTTATAAACATGACGTTAAATACCGGCTTAGACCGAAAGAAGAACTTATGTAATTGCATTCGCGCAAAAAAAAGGAAATAAACTCGTGACTTTTGCGTGCGGTGTATTCTTTTATAAAACACCGAAGAATACCAAGAGAGAATTTTCTTCACACGTCATTAATAACTATTTATTTGTCTGAGATATCTCACAGGATCCATAAAGTTGAATCGCCGCGTGAGTCCGCAGAACCGCATGGGTTTTTTTGAAAAAATATCGTGGTCGCATGAAATAACAACAAATAATTAATAATTATCAATATTAGACATATTTATTATAATTTTGCTCGTCAAACTTTTCAATTTCCACGATAATATAACAGGATTGTTATTCATCGTACGTTTGGTCCTACGCGAAGGATTCCTTACTCAAACTACTTTTCATGGGTTTGCGTTTATCAACGGGAGGGGCCCTTTCGTCTCGGATTAACTCGTAAAATAGCCGTACAATATTTTACATCTCTAACTATAGATAGTGATTACGCTTGCGTAACCAGCAACGTATCCTGAGTTGGTTGCCCAACGTGATCCGCGTTAGATCGCCGCGTGGAGCATCGTGCGCCCATAGCGTAAAAGGATCCCGTAAGAACGTATGTATTTCGCAAGTAGTTCCAAGAAGAATGGCGATCCCGCCGCGCAGATGGTTTCCGCGATTTCCGGTTTCCGATCGTCCGTTCTTTGTTGGATCCGCGAGGTCAATAAATCAATGGCCGTCTTATGTTGAGATTAAGTCTAAATTAATTAACCGGATTGAACGCGGAGGGAATAAAATCGTTTCGAAAGGAGTGCTGTGCGTAACGAACAATCGCGTTAACCGGAAACGTTGTCGGGCAGGCATGCAGTGGCGTAACGTACCCACCATTGTAGATCATTTCGATCACAATCGAATAAGTCAACTCAAGGATCTCCTGGCTGCTACTTGAAGCTGTTTCTGAGGAACGGGTTTCGCAAGTGCGATGAATAACAATCTTGTTAGCGGGACGTCGTGTGTTGTCGTTGCGATCAAATTGAATCTGACAAGCAAAATTACGATGTGTCTGACGTGTTTAATCGTAAATTACCCGCTGTTTAACGTAGTCGCAATATTTTCCGGGAAAAAAAAAAACAAATAATTTGTGAGTCGTAAAAATTGATAAGTTTGTCTTTTAACGCTCGCAAGAAGTCAATCATTTTAAATCAATTATTACTAATGCAAGCATTGATGAATTGCCATGTACGTAAGACGCTCTTTATATGCAAATCACTCTTAAATCAATTGCGCGAAGGAGGAGAAAGAAAGATGTATTGTAATTCAATTATAATTCTGGACCTAAATATTCACACATTCACCCTCGCGACGTGAATTGACAAAATATGGCGTTTTATGCAATATCTCGCTGTTGATTGCTCGCGCAACAACCTTGGAGGTGTAAAAGCCTCGCGCAAAAAATACTAAAGGATTGCGTGACATGACTTTCGCGATTCTTTCTAAAATCTCAATCTCACATTGGAGATTTGAGGATCGCGAATTGTAGATAGAATCCGACTAATCGGATAATTTCAAGTAATCTTGGCCCACTTCGTCCTGATTGATCGAATTCCAATTAGTAATCCTCAATCTCTAGCACGTTGCCTGATACGAGCTTCAATAAAGAGAGAAAGAGAGAGAGAGAAAGAGAGACAATCATGTGTCTGCGTGCCACAGTTTGTCAGGTAGTTCGGCTGGCAAAAGAGTCACATACTGATAACTGGAGCAAAGAGTGTTGTGTAAGCTGGTGGGTGGCCGCCTTTCTCTGCAAGCAGCTGCCAGGTTTAACATTGCCGCCGCCGTCGCGTATACCGGTCGCTGGATTTTCTGTGGCCACAATATGAAAAGATCGGCGAGAGACGCGCTGACAGACTCGCGCGACTATCGTACGAGTCGTTGAGAACTTAACCGGAATAATTCGATAAGGAATATTTGCGGCGGCGGCGTTGGATTTACGAAACTCGGGAAAAACTTGTTGAACGGTACTGAATTCTACTTAGATCTGACATTTGATAAATATGTGGGAGGAAATATACAAGTTGGCAGATAAATGGAAACAAACGTGTGAACAGTAACGTTGAATTCGTCAGAAGAAGTTTCCTAAGATTTGTAATCATGCGACTTCAAATATATAAATGAAATATTTAAGTATGGAAAAATTTCATAGAACGAGTTAAAAGTAGAGTATAATTACAAAAGAGCAATTATTTATGTAAAATTAAAACGGCTCACTGCATTTAATCTTGCATTGCTGCACTTAATTTAATTCAATATTGCGCTGTTTTTAATAGCTTTGGCGAGGAATTTCTTCGCTTCTAAAATTCTTAAGAAATTTTCTCCCTCCTTCTTCTTTTTCTGGATTAAAATGATACGCTGAAAACAAAAAGAAAAGGATTGATATTCTCCTTCTGCTTTCTCAATTATTTTAAATTTTTGAATATGCTAAAAATATTACCTGTTAAAATTGGGGTTTGTAAAAAAATTGGACAACGGTAATTTCGGTGCTGATTTTACAGAAGTTATTTCGAACGCTGGCCAAACGTAAAAGGACCGGCAATTAACGAAAAGTCGGACAGTTGCAGATACGAACTGATTTCGAGAGATTGGACAGACAGTAGGTGAGCGAATTGTCGCGAAGGTCGCCCAGCTCACTTTTCCCTCGCACTTTTCTCGGCCGATTCTCGGACTCCTTGCGGACCTCTTACTCCTGTCCGTCTGTCTGCTACACTTCCATTTCATTGTGAATGCTATAAGCCGTTTGCATATATGTAAGCCAAATATAATATGCAGGTTTCAATTAATAACTATTTCGGTAATTATTTTTTCTCGGAATGTGTATCAGTTTTTCTCCTGGAAACATTCTACACACAATTCTCAAGCATTTCCAAAAATTGCAAATAATTTCGGAGTGAAATTTTGGACGAATCATTATTTTGCAATCGTAGCAGTAGGATTAAGCAGCGAAGCGACGAAAGATTGCAATATCTCAAATATGCCGGCTATTTTTCGGCGCGTTTCCTTTCAGCGTTGATGGGATGATTAAACGCGTCGAAAGTAAGCCTGCAATTTCGGCAATGCCCATCGAAAGTGACGTTAACACCCAGGATTACGCGATTCTGTGCTAAAGGTTTTAGTTCTGAAGCGATACATAACGCGCGATGCGGTTTCATCTTCTTTCATTATGGTAATTATTATGCTCGTACGGCAGCTGCTCGTAAATGACGATTTACGTTCTGCGTACGCGCGCATAGAACCGCTCGTGAAAAATGCGTGAGAACCTTCTTTGCGCAACGAGCAGGTATCCTGCGAGATAAAATTTGCTTAGTTTCAGATAAAATCCGACAAAGTTAAAACTGAAATAAAATTAAAAAAAAAAACAAAAATTAAATTAAAATAAATTGATGTAAAGAAAAATAAAATATAATTATATTAAAATTATTACAAAATTCATAAATTCTTTTGTTGAGGAAAAAAAATTATTTTTTAAAAAACTAAGTCCAAGAGCCTTCCCAAACTTTTTATTATGTCGAAAAATTAAAATGTTCATGACGAATTGTGTAATTTGTAATAATTAAGGATTTGCTTGATGGTCCAGTGCATTCGGCGCTTCGGACAGGATAGCAGTGGTATCGGAACTCCGGCGAAGGCTCTATGGTGGACGAAGGAGAGTAAAAGAGGGGATTTCGCTGACAGAAGGGATAAGAAACCCATGCACGTACTCTTACCGGCGGTACGACGACTTCAGTCTGACGATCGCTTCCACGGAGCGAGGTTGACTAAATCCGACGTTGACCCGGGATTGTCCGTCGGTCTTGTCTTGAATCCTGTGTGTCAGGAGTGACCGGTGCAAAAAAAAAAAAAAAAAGAGAACGGAAGGATTCGACGGTGTGCTACCAAAATTTCGTCGCGACAAACGTTCGTTTAAATTGTACTCTACAAAAACAGAATTCGAGAAAAATTAACTAGTCACAATTAAAATCTGGCTAGACTGCAAGAATTATGCATATAAAATTTTGACAAACTTGTGGAACGTCGTAATGTACGGACGCTAAGACAAAAAACTCAAAAAAAAAATTTTTTTTTAGTTATTTAAATTGTTAATTTTTTCGGGAAACATGAGAATGCAAGTTTGAATTTTTTTCAGCACTTGTATGTAATAATTTACATAATAATTAACATTTTTGCTGAGAGACCGCAAATTTCGCTATTCCGCGAAAGAGAAACGTTCCCTGCGTTTTCGCGGCACGTGCCGCCGCCGTCGCTCGCTAATCTCGGAGCCGACCCGAAGTCAACGTCGTGGTGCGTGGTGTGCAGCTAGCGGGAGAGAAAGTGTTTCGCTGTGTGTCTCTCGATTTTTCGGTGGAAGAATCGACGATCGATCATCATCGGCGACGATGAGAGACTCGCGACTCTTCAGGACAGCATGACAACCAGCGCGTGCGATCATCCGCGTGCGCTAACATGCGTGTTCGCGGATACCGCTAGATCTTCCTATTGCTGCTGAAAGGATAATCTCGACGGAGCGCGAGACTCCTCCTGATAAGAATCATCGAACGTGCAAAACGATCGAGGACCGATTTGCAGGGATAATCACTGGCTGGCAGACGCAAACTACAGGTTAGTAATGCATTTCGCGCTTTCTCTATCTGTGTTGCGTGAGTTTTGTCGAGAATTATTAATTACAAATGAACCGTTGTCGAAGGAGAAAAGCAGGTGAATTTAACGATATGCGGTCCAACCGGTTTTTTTCAGAGTCGCGATTATTTCAGTGTCGAAAGACTCCCGAATTGTTATAAGAATTTACAACTAGTCGTTTCCTAAAAGTTTTAGTGATTGGTAAACGATTTTAAATTACTACTAATGCGCGAATTATTTTTAGAAAACAATTCTCTGCAAAACGCATTGAATCTTGAAAAAAAAATCACGTTTAGAATTGAGAAAAATAACAAAACGAAATCATCTCGTTTCATTCGTCACCTGCGAGTAATTGATCCAATTTCTCATTAATTAAATTAAAACTATGGCGACTTCTTTGATGAAGCTATCTATATTTTTAGTCAACTGTCCATGATATTATGTAATAAACAGGTTGCATATGCAGCATTATGCACGTCGCACACCACCTATGCGCAAAACTGATTTCAACCAGTTTCTCCGATATTTTTGCCCGATTCGTGTGATATACACCATCGGCTTTCACTGTACAACTATATACGCGCTTATAAAAGCCCGTGATATAGAGCCAAACGATTTAAATCACTCACATTTTATTCCTTTCATTACATATCCACGTGCAGAACCTGCAGGATCACTTTGTCAAGTCGTTCAATTTCCTTTTTAACTTCCTGTAACATGTATAAGATTTATTTGTGTTGAGGAACCCGCGGGACATTAATTCACGCCAAATTGTATTAAACAGACCTTATAAAATCTTTGAAGAAATATTTAGAGAGATGTAATAATAAATTATAAATTATCTTCTATACTTATTTTGTCATAAGGGCGTAATAAATAAAACGCTGAAGAAATCATTTCTCTAACACAACACTATCTAAATCCGGGATTCAAAACTCAAATAATAATTGCTACGTATTTGCTGCACAATATAAATACAGAGAATGTTAAATGATTAAAGAAAGTTACAAATTAACGTGCCATTGTCCGGTCGTTTTCTCGCTATTTTCACGTTGCGTCGGTCAATTTTCCACGGTAGAAATTTTACTTGTCTTTTTCCATCGCGCAAAGCAAGAAAATCGACGGACAAGCGAGAAACTCGCCGCGGCGTATCATTTGTTGCTGCAATTACTACGTGCAAGAATAGCACCTAGTGGTCCGTTGCAAATTCATCCCGTGAAAATTTACTCAGGTCTCAAATGATTATTTATTGTATACCGGCTTCATTCTTCTCTATAATCACAAATTTTTATTTTTAATGAGAAAAGTACGATTGAAACGTATATCAACACTATTAAGCTCGAATTGTGAAATTTGCGATATGTAGAATTAGCGTGTTAGCGCAAATTTAAGAAATAAATAAAATTAGCAAATTTAAAATTAAGTTAGAACATCGACAGCCTCGATTAATTTGATTAAAAAAATATTCTTATAATATTTTTAATCCTGTTACAAAAAATATCCCCGCTTTGAGATTACCGCTCTTGTTTTAATATTTAATCTTATTTAATCAATATCTTTCTTTTAATTGGCATAATCTTGTCGATCACTTTTAACCGGCTTTCGGTTTTTAACTTTTGTTTCTTTATTGTTTTATACACTGTAATATCTCAGCGCCAAATATCAAGTCGACAAACTAATCATATGTCTTGTCTACACCAATTATTGATGAAAATTTACGTGATTAAAGATGCAACACTGTTCTGTCTTTTATTTTTATCAGGAAACGTGAGAAAAGTCCGCGAAGATCGCTTCCTCGATCTACTTAGCCGTGTTTGTCGAATAGCTGATCGAATCAGGCGTTTCCTGGAGCGCGCCGTCAGGAAACTCTCTCGCTTTCATTCGCACACACGTGCTACGCATTCACGCTCTTAGAGAAGATATGCCCCGCGCACGCTATCTGTAATTTCCATTTTACTATTTACGATTGCGATGGCAGAATTTCGAATTAAGAAAATCTCTTCTCTACGCAATCACGCGTGTAATTTTCACCATTGGATCGTGAAGTGAAATTATTTATTATATATATCTGCATCGATCGAAAAAAAATGACGCGAAGAAATATAACGCACCATATATTTTATGAAAAGTAGATCAGAGATTTCAACGTTTAACTATGCAAAAAAGACAGCTACAATCGAGAATAGTCGAGAATACTTAAACACACAAGTTAAATAAACGTATCTTTTCTCTTTCTTTTGTTTTTAATTTACATCTTGCCAGGTAAAAATTTGACAATTTTCACAAGTAAATTATTTCTTTGAAAATAAAATAACGCTCAAATATTAATCAAACTAGATTGCTGCAAATTGAAAATCGCGAAAGTTATACACGAGAGCATTACACTTTCTTTCTTGTTTTTGTAAAACTACTCACCGTAACATTCTTGATAAACGTATTTCTATGAAAAATTCCATAAAGTAAGATTTTAGAGCAAGAGGATTCCGTTGCAGATCTTCTCGTGTTTCGAATAGACATCTTGCGATGTGGGTCGAAAAGGCGTGTGCAGGTATACGCAGTTGTTTCTTGCCGTAATCTATCTACTCGTCGAGCCGCGATAATCGGTAGAAAGCACCAGATGCCTCGCATCTTTCTTGTTTGTTTTGGTCGGATTGAAAGCACCAAGGACGAAATAATAAAACTCCTCTTCGCTTTCTTTATGAACTTCCGTCCCAGAGTAGCTTCCTTTTCATCTTTGCTTACTTCTCCGCAAAAACGCGACTGCATTCACGCAAAAATCTTCATCGATATAATAATTTTAGATTTTTTACTTTTTATATAAAAAAATATCAATCATATGTTCTAACTTCTTTTTAATGTTGCGAATGGTGTCTTGCAAACTATCGTCGCTTGGCTCATACTTACGCCAATAAAATAAAACTCCGCACTCGCAACTTCGATCGCGTATATCTTCTTGTCTGATCGACATTTTAATTCGTTCTATTTTTAACAAGACATTTGACCCCTTAACCGTAGATGATTGACATTTAATTCTTTTTTAGTGACGCGGGAAAAAATCTACAAAGTTTAAAATTGTTCTTCAAAGTGCACGAATCTGAATCTCCTTCCTATAAAACTTGTCAAGATTGAAGAAAATTGGAAAAAAAGAAGAAAAAGACTAATACATCGATCATAAATATCATTTGCGCAATGCGCGCAAATCTTATGTGTGATCAGAACGACGGTATGACGAACTGGTAATTGCGAATCTGATTAAGATGTATCAGGAAAGCGATGCTAATAGTAAGCTGCGCGATTTCGCTCTAATTTCGCAACGTATGCAAGACGCATTTTGCACCGGAGCCTCCGGGGAATAAAATGCCACTCCGAAACGCGTGTAAACGCATCGCACTGCGGGAACTCCGCGATGTGGAAAGCGCGCTCGTAAAGACGTTAGACGTAAAAGAGCGCGGATTAAATTTCGTGCTTGTTTCCTGCGAGTTTCGTTTGCCGTTTGAGTTTTTAGGCACGAGTCGGGTAGAAGAAAATCTTCGCGCCTGTTAAGACCGGATTTCGCGAGATTATCGTGAAATCCGGAAGCGATGACATGGAAAAAGCTGACACGGAAAATTGGTGATGTGAGAAGTCTCTCAAATCCATTGTTTCTTTTCTAGATTTTCGAAACGTTTTTTCGACACGATACTAATCACTTTTACCGATCACTCAAAATATCCAGGAACTAGCAAAAAATTAAAGAGAAAAATGATTGCATCGAAATCAATGCGAGTGTATAATAAAGGATGAGAAAGATCTTCTCTCGCGATGGTAAACTTTCTTTTAGCCGCGAAACATCAACGTAACAATTTTTTTCAGATTGTCATAAAAACTTGAGCGTTTCTTCCGTTTTTTTCACTCCTCTGTTCACTTCTCCTTCTCTGTACCTCCTGCTCCCGCCCGTATCGCCCGAGGTGCACGATCGATAACTCTCTAACGATAATCGATACCGCGTTACGCAAGCCAGCGCCTTTACGACACGACCCACGCGCGAAATGCATTGTAAACCTTTCTGGAGTTACGTCGCGTTACGCGGAAAGAGCGCGTAAATCGCCGCAGTGCCCACTGCGATTTTTTTTATCACACTTGACCGCTCTATCCATTCTATTAATTTTATCGAGTTATTGCGCTGTCCCTTGCAACGGACACGCGTGTCATGGCACCCACATATTTCGTTCAAGTGTTATTTCACACTGTTACATTTCATATTATTACACTGTTACTTTGCCGATCGCTCTCTTCTATCATTATCAGCGCGTGCAGGGTGCAATTTTAGAAAATGGTGAAATTTTAAACCTGCATTTTAAATATAATAGCGTAAAGAAGAAATGTATGTGATTTCCTAAAAGCTTAATACAACTTTGAGGAACTGCAATAAATAAAGAAAGTGTTACAAAAGTTTATAGAACCATCTATTACGCTTGAGAAGATGACCAATAAATTACGGCCTTCTCATGAATATTAAAACGTAGCTTTACAAATTGGACTCTTAATTAGGAAATTTATGCACATACTTAGACTTCTTAGTCACGGAACTTTTTTCTACTCCCTTGCAGAAATAAAATGACATAATTTGATCCCGCAGTTTCAAAATTGACTGCGATAAAAATGATGTGTTTAGTGAAACTATTATAATTATATAATACGTAGGCGTTACACGTAATAAGACAACACAGATATTCCGATGGAGAAAGAAATCACACCTAGCCAATACGTGTCGTGTGTCAGCTTGATTACACAGCGGCTACTCATTGCAACCCATCACGAAATTAGTGATGCCGAGTAGACGCGTGCACCGTTACGCGCGTCGCGAATAAACGAAGGACGCGCGCGACACGTGTAAATGCCGCTGATGAGCCGTTACTTTTGCAGCGGGCTTGACGTGTCTCCGTTGCACAAAAAGATTTCTTTAACGTCTGTTCAATTTTATTCAACGTAGACGCGAATGT